TCAAATGCCTTTGCATAGTCAATAAAACACAAGTAAACATCTTTCTGGTATTCTTTGCCTTGAGCCAAGATCCATCTGACAACAGCTATGATATCCCTTATTCCACGTCCTCTTCTGAATCCGGCTTGAACCTCTGGAAGTTCTCTGTCAATATACTGCTGCAATTTTTCATTGTTTAGAGACAATGAAAAACGTATGCATGTGAGAGCTGGACAATTAATAAGGAAGACCAAAGAAGAGCTGATGCTTTTGAGTTGTGGTGCTGGCAAAGAATGCTGAAAGTACCAAGGACTGCTAAAAGAACTAACAGATCTGTCCTGGAGTAAGTGCAGCCAAGATGGTCCTTTGAGGCGAGAATGGCCAGACTTCGTCTCACCGACTTTGGTCATGTTGTCAGAAGGGCCTATTCCCTGGAGAAGGATGTCATGCTTGGTAAGGTGGAGGGTTGACAAAAGAGGAGAAGGTTTTCAATGAGATAGATTGACACAGTGGCTGCAACAATGGGTTCAAGTATAGCAAGGATCATGGAGCTGGTGCAGGATCGGGCAGTGTTTCGTTCTGCTGTGTACGGGGTTGCTATGAGTCGGAAACAACTCAACGGCACCTAGGAACAACAACAACAACCATGCTCTGCTAAAAGGACAAACAAGTCTGTCCTGGAAGAAGTGCAGGCGGAAAGGTCCTTGGAAGCAAGAACAGCCAGACTTTGTCTCACCTACTTTGGGCATGTTGTCAGAAGGGACTATTTCCTAGAGAAGGATATCATGCTTGGTAATGTGGAGCATCAGCAAAGAAGGGGAAGGCCCTCAGTGAGATGGATAGACACAGTGGCTGCAAGGATGGGCTCAGGTATAGCAAGGATATGAAGCTGGCACAAGACTGGGCAGTGTTTCGTTCTGCTGTGCACAGAGTCACTATGAGCTGGAGATGACTTGATGGCACCTAACAACAACAGTATCTAGGAGAGGAAACGTTTAAGGTGAGCCTTTCTTGTTGGGCCAGAAGTAAAAAATACAGTGCCTTATATGGTTTTTGCAAACTGTACAATTCCCTCGTTTATTAGTTTCCTGTGTGTACTATGTGCATTATATGAGTATGGACATTATTTACATGTGTCCGTTATATGCAAAACTATGGTACTCAAAGACTCAGAAGGACATATTATAAGGACATAAGAGCTTGAAGGCAAAATTTAGGACAAATCTGAGCTCTCCAATTTTTTTTTAATTATAATGATGAACTATACATTTTGCCTTAAAATTAAAAAAAAAAGCAAAAAAACAAAACTGTGAGTCTCTACTGATAATTTATAAAAAGAGAAAAGGCAGAGCTCTTCTGTACATAAGAATGCCCAGCTAATACGTGAAGAAGGAATGATGTTGTTGTTGTGTGCCATCGAGTCGGACCCGACTAATAGCGACCCCTCCTTGGGTTTCCAAGGCAGGATCACTACAGAAGTAGATTGCCCCATCTTCCTTCTGAGGAGTGGCCAGTAGGTTTGAACCGCCAGCCTTCTGGTTAGCAGTCAAATGCCTTAGGCAATATGCTACCAGAGCTCCTAGAAGGAATGATAGAGTTAGAGAATCACCATTTTGCAATTATCAAAGTAATAACTGATAAAGGTCAGGATCATCAGTAGATGCTAAAACCACAGGGTAAAAATATATTTACATGGCTTCAGAGTATCAGCACACAGAATACAACTTTACAGTGGAAGGATCTGATCAAACCACCTTAACTAGATGATCAAATAGTAATGGTACAGAGATATTTTGTGATATAATGAAATGGGAAGCAGCAATTTGACCTATATAGAATTCCTGCCAAACTGTTTACCAAGAATCTCCTCATGAGGAAATAATCAGATAAATCCAGATTATAAAACATTCAAATAAGATAGAACAAATAATTAAATATACAGATGCTTCTGGGAACAAAAGTTTTTACTGACGGACAAAAGAAGAAGAAATATGGAAGAAAAGGAGATGGGTAAGAATACTGTTAGGCTGGATTTGAATTGGCAATATCCATATGAATCCATGATTTAAAATACTGGTGACCTGGGTTGGATTAGACTAAAAACAAAGTAGACATAAAAATCAAATTCAATGTATGATATCTGATTAGATCTTGAATAAAAAAACAGGTATTAAGGACATTCTGGAGGCAATCAGGGAAGTATGAATATGGACCATATTGTATCAATATTAAATTTTGTAGGTGTGACCATATCTACAGACTTTCTAAAAGTTTATCCAAAAATATACACCTATGTACTGGTGACGTAGTACATTGCTAACCAGAAGGCTGGTGGTTCAAACGCACCAGCCACTCCCCGGAAGGAAGACGGGGCAATCTGCTTTCATAGTGATGCTGCCTTGGAAACCCAAGGAGGGGTCGCTGTGAGTCGGGGCTGACTCAATGGCACATAACAACAACAGCACATGTGCACACACACATACACATACAGAAACACAGAAAAGGAAATACTGCAAAATGTTAACAACTGATGAATCTACATGAAGGTATAAAGATGTTAATTATATTAACACTAACTTTCAACTTTTCTGAAGTTTGTAATTTTCAAATAACAGTCAGGGAGAACATAACCGAATATAGCTGAACAACTATATTATTATAATTCAGCAGCATTACACATTAAGTGTCTTTACAACAGGTAAAGATGCAATTACAACCTACAATAACATTCTCATGAGAAAAGGTATGTTGAATTTACTAATAACTTAACACATTTATTTACACCTTTAAAGAAAACAACCCGAAAATGGGTGAACATGCATGTTTCCTTCACTGCTATTTATAGCTATGTTTCTTGACAGGAGACTTAGGCATTTTGGGAAGCACAATTATTAGTTATTTAAAAGGTGACGCATTCTGGGCCCTAATCTAAATGTCAGTAGCTCCTCCCAAGTAATTCTAAGAACAAAAAATGTGTCCACCTATAAATTTGGATTGAGAACTGTGGCTTTATAAAGAACTCAAATTATATTAGACACACAAGTAGTATTAAGCAATTAACAATTGACAATTTGAAGTTATTTCATAAAAAAAGAAAACAAAAATAACAATTCAAACACTCTTTGGAATATTAAAATAACATTTATAAGGTATTATTATAAAAAACAGAAATCTTAAATCATAGGACTCTAATCATAGTACTTCTAATTTCATTTCAGATATTCAACCAAATGTTGAACACCTGCTAAATGCCAGGTATAAATCTGAGACCGAGGAATGAAGTATGAAGAAGCATGAGGGTGTACAAAAATAAGGTTATACCATAGTCTAATGGAAAATAAATAAATAAATAAACAAATAATTATACAATAGCAAGTATAGTAAAGACTCCAAATTTTTGTTTTAAATTTTCTTTGAAAAAATTCAAATGTATTTAAGTGAGTACATTGCAACAGTGTGTTCACATCCAAAATGTATATACTTTTATTCACTGGGTTGAAGGAATGCTACTTATTAGTAACTCTTCTGTTGATTCTATCAAGTAACTGATACATTTTCTTTTATTTTAAAACTGAAATGTTAAGTTTTTTATGAAATGTTGAGTTTTTTATACCAATCTGTTTTCTGGTACTCCAGGTACTTTCTAATTTTCTTATACAGAATTATATTGAAATGGAAAGTCTGAGGGCCTTAAAAAAAGTACTAACCTGTGAGTTATTAATGACATGATTAGCCTCCAGTTGGATAGTAAATGTAACACCAAGTTCTGATGAAAAGGATTTCATTGGTGATAATGTTCCAGATGTCAAAACAATTGTCCGAACTTTGCCATTAATATCTGAAAATGCCTGAAAGGAAACAATGTTTGATACATAAAATTACATTTAAAAGAGTCAAACACATTCATTAAATTATTAGTATTGAGCAAGAAGAATAAATTTTTCATTTGCAACATAATAGGCTCACCACAGCTGGATTTAAGCACCAAAAATTAAGCACTTGAACTGCAGTTTTCTGTCGAGAACGTTTCTTATTTTTTGGGAGAGCAAAGAGCCCATTTCTATCTGAAACATCAGACTGATTTGTCCAAGAGTAAGTCTGCTGAATAGCAACTTTAAAATCATCTGCGAATCTAGATGAAAAGAAAATGCTAATTACATGGTAAAACTTTATAACACGTAATATCCCACCTACATACAACACAAAAACATTAGAAGTCACTTGAGAGTGCTGTTATCTTTCCACTCAAAGTTAATATTCTCCCCACTGACAACCCTTACCACTAATAAAATTCAGTAATTCTGATATAAATTAAACATTAAATCATAAAATCAACTTACTCTTACAAAGAATCCTAGAAACCATCTGTGGTAGTTAAGTTTGTGTGTCAACTTGGCTGGGCCTGGTTGAGTGGCTGGATAGCTGGATGTAGTAGTATTCCCCATGATGAGACTGGTAATCAACTCCATGGTGGAATCTACTGTGACAGCTGAGTAGCTGCCTCAGGGGTGTGGTATGCTCCTATATATAAGGAGAAGCTTTGGGGATAGTGTCTAGCCTACGGCACGCTTGAACCCTGCATGTAGCTGAGTTGTTGTTCAGCAGCCTGCCATGCTCTGCCAACCTTGGGACTTTCATTGGACTTGAATTAATGGCCTGCCATGTGGTTTGGTAATATTGGGACTGTGTCTTACTACTTGTCAACCTTGGGCTGGTCAGCCTCAGCAGCCAGCAGCTGAGTGAAAAAGAGCCTCCAGCTTCAGTGGGCCAGGAGCAAAAGGCAGAGCTGAAGCCCAAGGTTGAGGGGCTTTCACCCAGCCCCTAGAGCCTGGCATTTTGAACTCAGACTTAAAGGCTACAAATTGAATAAATTCCTGTTTGAAAAATAAACTCCTGTTTCTTAAGGTAATCCCATTTGTGGTATATTACTGTCAAAGTGGCCTAGGTAACCAAAACACCATCTGATCTAACCATCTACCTATTACCACCCACTTTCCATGACCATTTTCAAACAGAATAAAAACTCAAGTCTTCTAACTCCCAGTCCAGAGCTCTTTGTACTGCACATTATGTGATTAGTTACAAAATAGAAAACAGAATTACTGTTAAGGAAACTGAAGTGGGTTTGATAGATACATCTATATAATTTTTTTTTATGAGAAAATAGAATTTTTTACTGAAGGTAAAAAATTTTAGGAGATAATTTTAAAATTTCAAAGTTCTTTTAAAATCTGGCTCTCAGTTTTCTTCTATTTTCAATGAAGAAATTTTAATGCACCAGATGATATATGTGATTCAATCTAGTTCATAATGTCTTTCAATAAAGGGTATAGACATCTAAGCTCAAACAGAACAAAAAATGGTATTCTATATCTTATCCTCATTATAATATTTCACTGTTAATTTCACCACTGGAGAGATCAGGTCTCTATGTTCAGGTCAGGTACTCAATAGCTAGACAATTTTATAAAAATAGTGGAACCAGGTTGTTGTTACTATTGTTGCTATGTGCTGTCGACTCAGACCCAACTCACAGCGACCCCTCCTTGGGTTTCTGAGGCAGTATCACTATGGAAGAAGATTGCCTAACCTTCCTTCCGAGGCGTAGCTGGTGGGTTTGAACTGCCAGCCTTCTGATTAACAGTCAAGTGCCTTAGGTACTACGCTACCACAGCTCCATGGAACCGGGTAGTACTACATAATTTAATAAGGGATCTAGTTACCATTGAGTCAATTCAAACTCATGGTGACCCCATGTGCTTCAGGGTAGAAATGCATTCCATATGGTTTCCAAGGCTGTGACCTTTTGGAAGCAGACTGCCAGGCCTATATTCCATGGTTCCTCTGGGTAGGTTCAAACCATCAAATTAATGAATTACACCACCCAGGAACTCTTAACAAGGGGTTTTGTTGTTGTTATATGCCATCGAGTCGGCCCTGACTCATAGCGACCCCTCCTTGGGTTTCCAGGGCAGTATCACTACGGAAGTAGATTGCTCCATCTTCCTTCCGAGGAGTGACTGTTGGGTTTGAACCGCCAGCCTTCTGGTTAGCAGTCAAGTGCCTTAGGCACTATGCTACCAGAGCTCCCTTAACAAGGGGTAGGCAAGAGAAATTGACTGCTTTTCATTTTCCACTATACTAAACAGAGGCTTCATACAACAGTGCAATCCTTGAAGAAGCAAATCTAAACTACATTTAAAAGAAAATTCATAGCCTTTAATTATTACATTCAGTACTGGAAGATCATGAATTTAATGTTCAATTAATTCAATGAATTAATTTACTGATTTCAATACTAGCTTTCATTAATAAAGACTAATTTCAATTGATTTGAGTTTGTGCCAATAATAAGAGCAAACGCATTATAATATCTATACTCTTTGCTTACAGTTCTCCTATTTACTTAGCCAAGAGTATGCAATACACATGTTAGCACTCTATTAGATTCATATTTTGAAGAATAAAAATACAGCTTCACTTACCTGCTATTTTGCCTAAAAAGATAGTCAAGCACCATAAAAAGTCCTTTGAGCACTATTTGAGTTGAAGCACTAATAATAGGTATTTCTCTTGATTCCTGCTTACCAGGAATTGGTGAGACTTTTTCTTCTTTTTGAAGGACAGCAGAAAAATGTCCCTATAAGAAATTACCATATTAAATACAATGTAGAGGAGGAGCCAAAGGACTTCTCAAAACTGTAATAAAACCCAAATGAAATATTCATTGAAATTTTAGGTGAACATCATTAATAGAAAAGTAGCAACAATGTATTTTATTCTCATATCAGCCAAGTTCTTCTCAAAGTCAAAGACACTTTAATACATAAGTTACACATTTAGGAGTTTCGTTACTTCTTTGTGCAATTAGGATATTATTTAGTGCCTTTCAAAAGTAGTAAATGTGAGGCGGGGCAAGATGGCGGACTAGGCAGAAGGATTGCACAGACCCTCTTCAACAAAGAAAAGGGAAACCAATTAACACAGACACAGAAG